TACTTGGCTGCACATCCCTACCGCTTTCAGCCCAAACACCCGAGTCCGAAACAGCCGAGAAGGGTGCTGACAAGATGTTTGGGAAAGCCACCCTTACCGATGCTGCACGCTTTGGCTCGTATTCACACTGTCTTTACCAGTGTTGGAGTAACCTCGCGTCGCCCGAGGAGTTCACCTGTGTCCTGCAATCTGCAATCCGGCCCGGCGGCAGACAACTCCAAGACGTGCTTAGCAGTGAGCATTCAGCACCCATCTCCGCGCGTCAGATGCGCGATCCGTACTACCCCTGTGACCATGCTGGAAAGCCCGTCCGCGCGCTTTATCCAGGTTCAGTGAGGCAGCGTGGCTCGGATGTTGTGGGGACTGTCACCACTCCGTTGTACAACAGTATCACCGCTCAGTACGATTCCCTGTATCCCGGGGAGTGTGACCTCGTGTTGGGTTATGAGGCAGGGGCGTCAGCCGCTCCTGGCCTAACAGATCATGCTCGTCTCTCTGTGCTGGCCAACGCAACTGACCAGGCACTTATATCCAGTGTTGTTGCAATCCTGCGCGCCCTGGCGCAAGATGCCAAGGCGCAAGCCTTTGCCGCAGCATCGTGCCGATCCGTCGTGCACGAGCGTGCTTACATCTCGCAAGGGCTTGCCGTGAGCGTGGCCTCTCACCCTCTTAGTGACATGGGTGGGGCCTCTATGGCGCTGGCCGTGCATGCTCAAGATCAGACTCTCAGTCCCGATGCCCGGCGTCAGGATATTTGGGACGACGAAATCACGATTTGTCTTCTTCGCTCAGGCGAATGTCCACCTGGCACCGACCTGGCAGAGCAAAAGCGTTGTGCTCAGCGCGCATGCAAGTACCGTTTCCAAGGAGAGACACTCTATCGCATCGAGAACGACGGCAAGCCACGCGTCGTTCCTAAACCTGGTGACCGCACTGACATCATCAAGCGCACCCACGAGCAGGCTGGGCACTTCGGGGTGCGGCGCACTACTGCGCTGCTTCTCACCAGCTACTGG